GGGAGGGGCGGGTGGAGGGCATCGCTGGGCGCCTTGGTGCGGTGCGGTGCGTTGCGGTGCGGTGCGTAGCTTGGGTAGCCATCCACTCCACGGTACTAACTCAGTCGGTCACTCACTCGCTCCCCATCATCGTCCGTCCGTCATCGTCAGCTTCTTCCTTCTGTGTAGATACCAACACACATACACTATGTCCACTGAGGGCCCGCCTGAGTGCTTTCAACCAGCGGCCCGCCTGCCCGCCTGCCTGCCTGAGACCACCCCACCTAGAGCTCTGCCTCTCTGTCTGTCTGTCTACCTCCGTCTGTCTTGTGTGCGTTTGTGCCTTTCAACGGCTGGCTGGGCAGGAAGGAGGGAGGGTTGCGGGTCACATCTCGACGCGCGCATGATACGTATTTGTTCGTACTCTGTCTGGCTGTCCGTGTGTATGTATGTGTGTGTATGTGTGCCTGTCTGCTGTTTTTGGTCCGTCTGTCCGTCCGTCAGCCAGCCAGTCTAGTGCAGCCAGCAGCACAAACAAAGCAGCCATTGCGCCCAGTTCCTTCAGCTCAGCTTCCCCCGGTCGAGCGTGTGTGCGTGCACGCCCGAGGGAAGGGTCCTGTAAATACAAACGAAGAAAGAGGGAAGGCGAGGGAGGCCTTTTGTGTGTGGGTCCATGTGCCATCCTATGTGCCATGCATTTCATTCTCATTATGTGTCGGGTACTCTGCCTCTCTGTCTGTCTGTCTGTCTGTCTGTATCGGAGATTGGGAGAGGGGAGGGGAAGGGGACAGCGCAATTGAGCACACGAGCATGCGTGTGTGCATCATGTGTGGGTGGATTTAGCTATCCAGCTGTCTGTCCGCCATTTCTGTCACCATCCACCCACCCACTCGACCCTTTTCTCGCATTCATTCCTTCATGTCACTCACAGTACGAACGTACGGTCCTTTTGTGTGTCAGAAGGGATGGATGGATGGATGGGGCGGCATGGGGAGGGATGCACAGATGAAGGGACAGAGGGATCGATGGACGGCCATTTTTTTCTGTAGTATATGGCACAAGACAACTCAGCACAGCACGAGAGAGAGCGACAGAGAGCATCGCACCACAGACAGACAGACGACAGGCCCACGCGTGTCTTTCTTGACCCGGGCCGCATCTATCTAGCGAATCTCACCCCCGCCCTCCCTGCCTCCCTCCCCCCCCTCTTTGTTTCCATTATGTGTGTATGCCACAACACAAGGCAGGCCTCTCACTGACTGACTGACTGACTTGTCTGTGTACAGTAAGTACGCTGAGCGCTCCTCACTCACTCACTCACTCGTGCTGAATGATCGAGATCGATGGGTCGATACGATGCGATGCGATGCGATCGATGAGTGGACACATTTCTCCCCTCGGGCCTTGGTTCCTTCGTACTTTCTTCAGGTGTATGTACACTAACTATATGTACGACACTGTCTGTCTTGATTGACACAATGGGATGCGATAGCTGGCGGGTCGGTGGGTGCATGTGCTGACTGACACAGACCCAGCAGTCAGACCCATGCCCATCTCTCTGTGTGTGTGTGTGTGTGTGTGTGTCTCTTCCTGCGGTCCGGTCCTCTTTTTCTCTCTCACCATCTATAGTCACTGTCTACACCCAATCGCACGCAGCCAGTGGCACACCAGAGCAGACTGAGCCACAGACAGACAGGACGGACAGACGGAGACATCCTCTTCCTCCCTCCCTCCCTGCCTCCCTCGGTAGCCGTATGTATGTACGTGTATGTCTGTGTATGTATTGTCGTCCCTTCAATTAGTCCTTGCTCTTCTCTCCAGGAGGGAGGGAATTAGCCAGCCAGCCAGCCAGCCAGCCATCCAGGCATCTCTCTTTCTTCGCGGCCCGCCAAAGACAGACAGACCTACAGAGCGGCCCCCGTCCAGTGAGTGCGCAACAGAGAGCTGGAGTAGTTAGCCTAGCCTGTGTAGGGGGTGGGGCGGTCGGTCGGTCGGTCTGGTGGTGGTTTATGGTCTTTGTTGCAGTCAGTCAATGAATGCAGACACTCACGCACGCACGCCGCGCTGTCTGACAGTTGCCACCCAGCCACAGACCCACACGGATGGCTGTCTGGATCTGGCTGCATCCATATGATTTTTCAATGCACATGTCTGTCTGTCTGTCTGTCTGTCGAGAGAGAGGGGACCGACTGTCAATTCGAGAAGAGCGGACCGCCGTGTACGTACGTCTGTCTGTCTGCCTGCCTCCCTGTCTCAGCGCATCCTTCTTATGTGTGTGTGTGTGAGTGGTCGGTGAATGTGGCCGGATGAGGCTGCATGGCATGGATTCTCTGCGAGAGAGACTCGCTGCTACCGAGTACTGACTGACTTGGACGTCGCATGTCTATAGAAATATACCGTATATCCAACCAGCAACACAAACCAACACGAGCGAGACCGACTGTTTGATAGTAGATGTGTGGGATGGATGCGCTTTGGTGACGTATGCGGCACATGAAGACACACAGACACATTGCGGCGTCAGTCTATTCATCCCCCCACAAAAAATGCATCAGTCCGTCCAGAGAGCATGTCAGCATCTATCCATAGGCATGCAGCACCGTTTGGCCCTCCCAGCGACGCAGCTGCTCTCACAGAAGATCCACTTCAGAAAGATGTCGAGTGAGTCGCCCGGTCTGCCTGTTTGGCCTCGGTGGAGTCCAGCAGAGGTGTCGCCAGCTGCACACCTGTGTTTGCCGCTGCCGCACTTGTCGAGGTGGCCGACTCCCGCGCTGTCCTGCTCACAGACGAAGACAGCAACAAAGGATGACAACCAGAATGTGTCAACGGGCGATATGTCAGCCAGTCACTGTGAGCCCTTACCTGACGCCATCGTCGCCTCGGCCTTCGGCGCTCTCTGAGGGCCTGACAAACAAACACACAGGGCGGCAATCAGCCACTCTAATGTGAATACCAAGTTGTGGTTGGCTCACCTGCGGCGGTTTCCTTGCTTCTTTCCTATCGCCTCAGCCACCTCTCGGAAGGCCGCCTCGTTGATCAGGGAGCCGTCGTCGTTGACGAGGCTCGCGAGTTTCCGAAAGTCCTTCCTCGTCAGCTTACGTGAGTCGACCTTGTACTCCACAGGCGGACAGTGGACCAAGAGATTGCCCATCGTGGCACCATACTTGGGTTCCTTCTCTCCCCAGTGGAGGGGAGTCAACCAGCTGAAAATGACCTCGAGACCCATCCACCCAATACACATCAGCTCCGCGTTCAGCAGGTGTCTTCAAGTGTCCCCAACACCTGGCGGCTCTAGCTGTTTTGGATCTGAGCAGATCTGCTCACCCATTGTCAGATCCAGACAGATCCTGACCTTCTCGTCGCACAGCGGTTTCCGTCGCACATGCGAGCTACTCACCGCAGAAGCAGAAGTGAAGCAGCGCAGAAGTAAAGGCTTATGTGTTGGCGTGTGTTGGGTGCAGGTGTGGTGTGTGGCCTTGGCGTCATGAGTCATCGTGGGAAGCGATCCGAATTGGAAAGGAAGAGAACGAGCGGAGAGGATCATGTCCAGCGCGTCTTGCTACACCTGCCTGCCTGCCTGCCTGCATCTACGTGCCTGCCGGCCGGTCTTATCCCGTCGCTTGCTCCGCCTCATTGTCCCTCTGACTCACTCACTCGCCACTGCTTGCAATCATGCAGCCGGGGCTCTTCAGTATTCTTGGTCTGCTTCAGCTGGTGCTGCTGCTGCCGAGCGGCTATCCCATGTCGGTGACGGCACAAGTTGGCAACACGGCAAAGACGACCCTGTCAACACAGGAGGTAGGTACCGTCACACATGGACGAGAGAGCAGCGATTCGTCCATCAGTCAGTCACGGAACTCTGCGTGCGTGCGTGTGTTGTGTGGGTGCAGGCGAGTCAGACCCAGGAGGGAGATGAGAACGCTGAGCAAGGTTTGCACCGATCAGATCCACAGCAGGCATATGCAGGGCCGCTCGGCTGCATGAGATGCACGACTGACTGACTGACTGACTCGACTGTCCTGTCTGTCCTGTCTGTGTTGTGTGTCTGCGTTTCCTCGGCCGGCCCCGTGTGGCAGGCGCCTGAAGTACGACCAGTCGACGTACTGGGGTCGTTTGCAGCACTTCATCGAGCTGATAAACCCATCGCTGCTACTGAAGACCTCCCAAGAATTGCTTCAAGCGCAGGCGGTTGTTGATGACTTCAAGAAGTGAGATGGAACTACCGAATGAGCCCCCACCTCTCACGTGCTTTGCTTGTGTTGCCTATAGTCGGACCACCATGTCACCATCTCCTGATTCGTCGGAGCTCGAGAGGCTATGGGAAGCGCAGACGCTTTTGGATGCCAGTGTGCATCCCCAGACCCACGAGCCCATCCCCCTCCCCCTCCGACTGGCCGCATTCGTGCCTGTCAACATACCCATTATTTCAGGTGGGCGAGGCACTGCCATATACACATACAGCTCTGCATCTTCCTGCAGGCATGTTGTTGAGTCCCGTCACGGTCGCCAATGCTGCTCTCTGGCAATGGGTACGTACGGCGGGTGGACAGCCAGTCAGTCGGCACAACTCACCCGTCGTTGGCTGTTCTGTCCACACACTGTAGGTCAACCAAACGTACAATGCTCTGTTCAACTGGGCCAACTCGAACAAGTCCAAGGATCCGTCCGATGAGGAAGGCGACGAGGAGACTGCAAACAGTCTTATAGCTTATGGGTAGGCACTCACACAGCAGAGGGAACACCATGGACCACAGAAGCTATGAATTCGCCTCTCCCGTGTGCGTCTGTCAGGTTAGCCACAGCGGTGTCTGTCGGCTTGGCCGTGGGCCTGAATGAAGGCCTCAAGAGAGCCACACTCTCGCCCGGCATCAGGTAGATGGTGGAATGGCGGAGACGGAAGGTCGCAGGCATGTTTGATTCTGTCTGCACATTCAACTGAATGTCACCTGGCTTCCGTCAGGACTGTGCTCCAGTGGGTGGTTCCGTTTACGGCAGTGGCAGGTGCTGGCGTCCTCAATGCTCTGCTCATGAGAAGCAACGAACTCATTGAAGTGAGTGAGCCATAACCACATTTCACAATCCAACGTCAGTCAGATCCATGAGTCACCGGCTCTCGTTTCCCGTTTCAGGGCATTCCCGTCGAGGTAAATCGTAGAAGAAAAACGCAGGCGTCAAAACACACGTGCTTGTGTTGCCTGTTCTTAGGACTCGTCCGGTCGAACGCTCGGCAGATCCCAGCTGGCAGCCAGATACGCACTCACACAAGTGGCCATATCCCGAATCGTTTTGCCGGCTCCCGCCCTGATCCTGCCTCCCCCGCTCATCGCCCTTGCCCTCAGGATACCGCTCGTCAGCAAGAGCAAAGCCTTGAAGGTAGCATACATATTGAAATGAGCCCTCTCAGTGTCTGTCCACACATATATATGTGTCTTCTTGTTTCTTGTATAGGTGCTTATCGAGGTGAGCGTAATCTCGTTGGGTCTGTGGGGCGGCTTGCCTGCCGCCGTGGCCCTGTTTCCTCAGAAGATGGAGCTGTCTGCCACTGCTCTGGAGCCGTCATTTCATGGTCTGATGACTGAAGATGGGGAGCCGGTCAAAGAGGTCTTCCTAAATAAGGGATTGTAGGCAGGCAGGCCATGGATCGGGAGGGGAGGACGATCGGATTGTAGCCGGCTGAATTCAGCTCGTTCTCGTGTGTTTGTTTCTGCTGCTTCATAGTGCAGATCTTGCACTACACTATGTGTGTGTGTGCATCCCTTCGTCACTCGTTTTTTGCTGTCCTTTTTCTGGGCTTCCGTCATGTCGCGGCGTGCGTGTGCTGTGCAATGCACTCCTGTAATACATGCCCTCTCACGTATGCATGTTTCTGGTGATGCGCTGCGTACGGCTGTCTGTCTCTCCGGGCCTGCTTGTGCAAAAACTACTGTGGCTCTGTCGCCGCCTTTTGCCTCTGTTGCGGCGGACACAAAAGGGTACGCATGATTGATATACATACAGGTTTGGCTGTCTGGCCATCGATCGATGGATGGATGGATTTGCTGACGGGTGCTTGCTTGGACAGGGATCCCGTCTCAGGAGGGCGGTCCCCTGGACGGCCCTCACTGCCTTTGACACATGGACATAGTAGGTATCTCAATGATGTCTGACAGCGAGGTGGCAGGGCAGGACTTTTTGTCTGTCTGTCTGTCTGTCTGTTTCCTCCAAGCTGGAGGAATGATCTTTGAGATATTTCCTACGTACGCGCGTGAGCGCGCTGCTTGAGGAGAAGAATGACACGTGTGAGCTAAGCTTGTGTGCCCGTGTGTTGCGTGCTGCGTGCGTCAATCAGTCGGCCAGTCAGCTATGCTCCAGCAGCGAGTGTTGAATTTTTGACTCGCCCATTGTGTGTCGGTGCGTGTGGGTGTGTGTATGGGTTTGGAGCGCTGGATGTGTCGTGAAATGCACGACGGCGGGACGCCCGATGGGGTAGGCGATACTGACAAAGGGATTCGATCAACCACTGGACATGAGCACCGCAAGCGCGTCCATCTGTACAAGAATCAAGAATTACACACACATGTATCCGTGTCTCACACACACACGCACATACACCTACACACACTAGCCCCGCCTGCTATCCACAAATGCATCCCTCCCTCTCCCATCCCCTCGACGTCAACCAATCAATCACTCACTCACACGCTCACTGCAGCTGGACCCTGCGTCGCTTGTGCGGCCGGCCGGATGGCGAGAGTGGCGCCTCGCTCCTGCCGTCATCATCGGCCAGCACCGCCTCCACCACACCAATCATCACATATGCGCTTTCATACGCAGCACTCCCCAGCGCCCGTATCACCCAGCTCTTGTCGGCCGCATAACGGGCGAGCACCTTCAACCAACCGAGAGAACAACCAGCACAGGGGCATCCATCCATCCATCCATACGGCCACGTACGAGCCACCCACCCAATTGATTGTACCTTTGCAAAGGGCACTATGTCCCGCTTGTGGGCCTCCATGAGGCTCGGCGCTTCGCGCCTCGCCTTCGCTCCCCCCACCTGTCCATCTGCTGCTCACGATCCCATCCGCTCATCCACGCCGTCAGCACACGAAGGGGGGACACCCCGTCCGCCGTCATGTTGGCCAGATACACAGCCATGAGCTCAGACACCTACACCCAGCCAGCCAGCCAGCCACGCACGCAGCGGCAGCAACAAGCACACATTCCAATGAACAACGGATTGAACCAGTGAGTGCGCCAGGCACTCGCTGCTCGGGCGTACCTTTCGTGTGATGGCGCCTCCGATGGTCTGGATGTCCCACCAGGCCCCCGCGCGAATCATCATGCGCAGGCAGTGCAGCACCAGGCACCGCATCGGATAATGGTGGATGGTCATGGGGGGCCCTGAGGTGCTGCAGCTGGGTGTCGTCGCGATCGCTGAATGCTCTGCGCTCCTCGTCGGTGTCAAAGAGCACCGTGTTGGCCTTGCTGCAGCCGAGGATGCCCACATTGAAGATGGGCATGCTAGAGTCGGTGTCGGGGTCCTCATGACCAAGCATGAAGCCCCCGCGGCACAGGACCAGCGGCTCCCCTTCGTCGGTGACGTCGTCGCCCGTCTCCACCGATGTGTCCGGCACCGAGTAGCAGGACACCGAATCGGGCCGGATGATCGGCTGGTGGACGCGGGTGGAGATTTCGACAGTGCGGACGTCCTTGACAGGCAGCTCCGCGCTGTTCTGGACAAGTGGATTGCTGCACACACACACAGACACACACATGGTCTGCACACACACACAGGAAACACACAGCGGCATGACAATCGCCCATTGACGGCTCTCCGAGTGGGCACCTCCACCCACCTCCATCTCATAGGGGTCTCCGTGATCGGCCATCCGCCAAAGTGCTCCTGCGATGCTGTTTGGTCTTTGGCGACAGACCAACACGCACATTTAGACCAACACGCACACGTGACTTCTGTCTGTGTCCATTTGTCTTTGTTCATCATGACGTTGGCATTGTTGGCCGCCACATTCATTCCCCTCCTTTATCATGAAGACATGTTCATGTCTATCCCTAGCCTCTTCTCCAGCAGTTCACGAAACACCTTTGTTAGCACCGCTCTATCCACGCGGTCGATCACCATCTGATGACATCACCACACTGTCTGTATGTCGGTTGACGTCCGTTAGTGCCTGACATTCTTACATCGAGCTTCATTTGCTCCCCCGTCTCCTGGATGGTCTTTATCTGGTGCTGGAGGTCACGCCACATCTGTGTGTGCACAGTCAGCATAGAAGATTGGTTCTGCTTCAGGCATGCGTCATGTCTTGTGTGGTCACCTTTGTGTCCCTCTTCCGCAGCCACGCCTGTTGGGCGTCTCGCCCCTCGGCTGCAATCACGGGGCCACGCAGCAGAGCCTTGGTCTTCTCCATGTCAGCCTCGCTGCATTTCTTCGACTGTAAGTCAAACTGAGGCAGAGTGCACACACGGCACAGACGTGAACCCAGCACAGCTGTGCAAGCGCGATACTGTTTCCTGGGCATACCTTCTTTGTCCACATGTCGACCTGCATGCACGTCACGGCGAACTAGCTGACGTCGATTTTGTGGTGCTCCAGTCGAGAGGCGAGACCGAGGCCGATATCTAGACCATGGACGTCGCCGTCGCCCAAGTGGAAAACCTGCACAGACAACACAGCCGCTGCCTGTGTGTTATTGCGCGTGTCGTCTCTGTTCTTGCCGTCTTACCACCATTCGAGGGAACAGACTGAGCGCGAGTGCACGGTGTCCCGCTGGCCCTCTGTCTCGGTGGTGTGCTTACTGGCCAACACTACATCGAAGATATCCATCTGGTGAATCCTCCGTGCAACGCCCTCCTGCTCAACGGTGGCAATGGTGAGTGCGCCACGGCCAGGCCATCTTGAATTCTCGTCTTGGAGAAGTGACACACATCTTGGAGGAGTGACACACGACCTGCAGGCGACCCATCGGGAAGCAATATCGTGCACACAGTCAGATGCTGATGTCGTGTTCTGCGTGCCTGTCGGTAACGCGTCCGTGACAGGCATTCCCCACAGGCTGTCCGGCGTGTCCGACTTGTGCATGTCCTCTGGCCGGAGGGATAGATGAGCCGTCCAGATGGTGGCAGCCGGCTCAACGATGATGCCCAGCTGAGAAAGCGTGGCTCCGGCGATTAGTTGCATACCTGTGTGAGGAGAACATCAACACGAGAGCTGGTGTTTCGCACAGACGGTGGGATTTAATCAGACGACTGACCGCGCCTGATGACGGCCAGGCCGTCGTCGACACTCCACTTGGCGACAGTGTTCTCCAGTCGGTATTGCACCTCACGATGGGCTGGTGTGCCTACTTCGGCCAGCTGGTGCAACACACACACACCTAAAGTGAGCACCATAGACACCCCAAGCCTCCTGGATTTTGTTTGCATTTCCTGCGCCATGTCGGTGCGACCCCACCTGCCACTGCCTTTTTGATCCTCGGTGTGAGGCTTGCGCGAGGTCCCACGATCATCGCAGCATTGACATCCTACACACCACAACACGGCGTCGCGTCCGTATGTGGGCGGCAGTGTCGCCTGCACTGTGACTAACCTCGTCCGTCATTTCTTCGTCGTCCTTGGACACAGGCACTGATGTGAAGCCCGAGAGAAGCTGTCGAACCCATGTTGGGGTCGACGGTCCACAGACGGTGGAGCGCTGCGAGACGTGCTGACACACACACACGTACGTGATGCAGACCCGTGTGTGTTTGTGTGTGTTCGTGATTGTGCATTCCTTCCCTCTCACTGCTGACCTTCAGGCGCCCGCGGCCTCAGGAGCTCTGCCTCAGACGCGCAGGCGACTCGCAGGAGAGCTTCCCAGTCGGCAATGCCCTCGACCTTGTAATAAGCCACGGAGACTGCACCGGTAGGCTGAACCTCGACGAGGGTACCATCTGCACACACGATGAACCAACATTGACTGAGTGAGGGAGGGGGGGAACACCCATGGGCCGTCGTCTGTCTGTCTGTCTGTCTGACTTGAAGAATGAGAGCCCCTTGAAGAGGTCCCCGATGAGCACGAAGTCCTTGATGATGGAGCAGCAGGTGATGAACGTCATGCCGTCATGGATCACACCGCCAAGCAGCTGACGCTCGCCCACCTCCTAGCATAGCAACAGCACACAGACAGACAGACAGACAGACAGACATGGTCAGTCAGAGAGATAGATAGACAGACAGAGAGAGATCCGCCCACACACACCTGCACAATGAGCCAGCCGGCGTGCATCACATACGAGCCGCTGGCCGCCTTGCCACTCACAGGCTCGAACCGCGTCAGCACAGACACCGGACCCTTGTAGCTGCTCTTCAGATACACACGGAAGCCGTACTGCTCCACACCCGAGGCGCCCTCCGTGCCCGCCGCTAGTGGTGGTGGTGGGTGCGGGGGGATGACGTCCATGGCGTCGTCGGAGGGGTTGGGCAGCTGCAGGAGGTATACCTGGCCAGTCGTGTGGCCTTCCGGCTGGTCGGTGTGAAGCTGCGCGGAGCCCACGGCCAGCAGGGTCTCGCCTGATTTGATTCAAGCAAGGCAAGAAAGAACATTGTGTTTGTGTGGAGTGGAGAGGGTTATGCATGTATGTTTGTGCACTGCACTGCACCATAGATGCGGAGGAAGCTGAGGCTGAGCGCCTTCTCCAGAGGGCCGAACTTCCACCAACTGACAGACAACCGAGTCACAAACCCAAACCAACAAATCCAAGCCGACACAAACACAAAAGGGTCATCACATAACCCCCTAGGGCCGCCGGTGTTTCTTCCTTTCCTTCTTCTCGGCACTTACGCGCAGGGTGCATGCAGCCCGCCATCCAGCCTGTACAGCCTCACCTCGTGCCTGTCAGTCACCCTCCTCAACCCCACACGAGCCCCAGCCCCAGCCCCCCCGTCAGACTGCAGCAGCAGCAGCCGCTCGTTGAAGGACCCCCTGAGCGACTCGGGCACATACTCACTGTCTTCATCCTCCAGGCCCGTCTTGGGCCCATGGTACGCCACCACTGGCTCCTCGTCAGCCAGCGGGACGGCCACGGCCAGCATACCCACCGATGGGTCGCTCAGAGCCATGTGGCCGCAGGGAGAGCCCATCAGGACGGGTTGGGGATGAGTCTCAGTGGCTGCCGAAGGGGCATCAGGCTGGGGCGGCAATGGCGGCTCCTCTGTGTCTGTGTGGTCGATGACGTCCTCGGGGAGAGGAGGAGGGCAGGGGCGTGGGGGGCTGCCCAGGGGCACCTAATGGATGGATGGAAGGATGGATGGATGGCAAGAGAGAGGGAAGAGCGGAGTGTGGGTGTGCATTGCGTCCGTCCGTGTGTCCGAGCATGGATACCTTCAGTTGGGGTATTGGCTTGGCCAGGTCCCATTTGGCGATGTGCTCGACGGCAGATGAGGGGGCGACATTGCTGCTGCCGGGTGCGTCACCGTCGTTCCTCTGGGGGATGTCCAGCTCCTCAACCTACACACACAACAGACACATAACATCATCCAGAGAGAGGGGAAGGAGAGAGCACTGACGTCAATCAGTATCCGTGCTGGTTGCAGCCCTCAGTGCACTGAATGGACGCAGCTTACGTATTCCAGCCGGATCATCGATGTCGACGACAGACTCAAGAACCTGAACAAACATACAACAGCAGCAGGCGTGAACGAAGCAGGGACGCGCAACACGCTTACGCATGGGGATAGGCCGGCGTCCTGAAGGGTGCACAAACACCTCACTCCGCCTCCCCACCACCCACCACCTCCCTCCGTCCGGGGGGCACCACAAACGCGCCCCTCTCTCCACCCACCGACACGAACGGGACCACCTTTCCTCCGCCATAGACGCCGAAGGGCACCAGCTCGCCCGTGGAGGCCTGATGCTGATAGGAGGGCATGACGGGCAGCACAATAGGGTGCATCATGAGCTTGAAGCGGTAGGGGAATGACGGGGCGGTCTCGGGGAACTCTTCGCTCAGGTCCTGCTCCTCCTTGCCTCGGGGGGCGGCCTGTGTGCACGGTAGATGAGGATGGGTCGGCTGGGGAGGAAGACGACGAGCGTGGGGGTGCTGTCGATGTCGGTCATGTCGGCCCCCAGCTGGGAGGGGAGGGCGGGGGAGTGGTGCTGGGGGGGCTTGTTCTGCGGGAGAGGGTCGTGCGTCGACATGTGTCGCGGGGCAGCCGTGAGGTCCGTTAGCGACCGGAAGACATCCGATGCAGATATATAGCGCTCCTCAGCATCACCTAAGGCAATGAATGAATGCACCAACGCAGCGCAGCACGGCACAGCACAACACGCAGAGGTCAGTCAGGTGAGCGACGTGTATGGGTTTGGCCTGACTGACCTGAGTGGCATGTCCGCAGGATGGGCGGGACCAGGTAGAGCTGCTCCACATAGAAGACCACCCTCTTGCTCGCCATCTCGCCCGTCACTGCCGCAAACACAGCACCCTCCTCCTCCGAGTAGCAGCTGAGCGTCATGACGTCCCCTGTCATGCAGTCGGGCAGCCCCTCCACCTCACGCAGCCCCCCTGCTGCGGCCTGGTACGCCCTCACTCGACCAGTGTCGAACAGCACGGTCACATAGGGCTCGTTGACGCACGCCTTAACGGCCAGGGAAAGGTCGTCCCCCTCGTTGAAGTCGATAGACGTCTCATTATGGGCGTCGGCCGTCAGGTCCCCCTGGTCGGTCATGGGGATGGCGCGCAGTGCGTTTGGGGTGACCTGGACAAGGAGCCCTGTGAGCGCCCCCGCACCCACAGTGCAGCTCTCGCTGTCGATGTGGATGTCTTCGGTGACCTCCTCCAGCCGGTCGTCGTCGGCGCTCGTGGTGGCGGACCCCATGGCCAGCGCATAGGTGCGCCCCACACCCAGCCGCGCATCGCTGCTAACCAGCACGTATGCGTGACGATGAGAACCGCCCACGTCATCATCACCACCACCACCACCACTGTCAGCCGCACGCCTCAGCGAGGCCTGCATGCTGATCGACGGCAGCCCATCGCTCTTGCTGACCTCGCTCCTCTCCCCTCTGGCCGTTATGTGGCCGTCGACATCACCCTCCCCTCCCACCTCGCCGTCCTCGTCTCCCCGCTTCCTCTTAACTCCCCCGCCCCGACCACCGCCCGACCGCACAGACATCTGGTGGCCCACAGGGACGGTCCAGAGGTAGCCGGCGTCCTGTAGGTCAAATTCCACGATCGAGTAGGTGGGGACGGTCCGCTGGATGGCGCAGAGGAGCGGCGGGAGTGCGGGTCTGCCCTCGAGAGTGCCGCCCATGACGGCTGCGTAGCGCATGGTGCGGAGTTCCTCGGTGCGCTCGGAGGGGAGGGCGGTCTCCATGCCCGAGATGTCGACGCGTCGCGGCCACTCGGCGAGGGTGCGGAGGCTGCCGCTGCAGTCCAGCTGGTCGACCAGTGTGACGTCATAGTGGGAAAGCTCACAGCGGTTGGCAGACTCACGCTCATCGCAGAGAGCGATGTATTTCTCCAGCTCTCCTCTGCCTTTGACATCTTGGTCCGAAGTCATGCCGGCGACGGTTGTGTCGTCTGCCATGGCGGCCTTGAGCCTCCCAAACCACCCGTTGGCGGGCTTGACCAGCAGCCCCCCGCCTCCGTCCTCGGCCCCGCCATTATGCCACCCAGCCGCCCCGAGGCCAGCATGAAGGAAAAGAGGCGCGGCGGGGGTGCCTCGTGCCGCTGGTTTGGCGGAGAGGGGCACGATGGTGTGCGTGTGCAGCGGTTGGGGGAAGTCGACCTTCTGCCAGAGAATGTCGATGACGCCTTCAGTGGGGTGCGTCACCTGCACAAAGAAAGAAACAAAGTGAGAGGAATCTTATATTCTTATGGGTCACCCACACCCCCACACACCAACCGCTATATTCTTATGGTTGGTGTGTGTGTGTGTGTGTGTTTGTTGCTTACAAGGTGTAGTAGGAAGAGTGTGCCGTCCCGGAGGATGGCGATGATGCACGACGGTGTCACGTGGCTCCAGCAGAGGCCGTCCAGACGCACACCCATCTCACTCTTGTCCCTATCAACCAACAGACATATCACAGCGCAAACCAAACATGGTAACAAGCAAGTCTGCAGACAAGCCAACGATTGAAGCTATGTACCTCACCTAACAGGAAGGGTACAGAAGTGTTGCAGCTCGCCCGTGAGCCAGGCCCCCTTGTGCGTGACCTGCACGAACCCCCCGCCTCACCCCCTGCTGTACACCACAACCGTCGGCGAAACCACCAGGCAGCCAGCCAGCACCGACAGCGGCCTCTCGTCGCCCTCCGTCATCGACCGGGGCACCAGCGGGATCACCTCTTGAGCAGTCCATCGGGAGGTCCTCTTGCTGCACACAATCGGGGTGTGTGTATCTAGCCATTGATGGTGATGTGCTGGTTGGTTGGCTGGTAACCTACTTTGGACATGACGGTGACTCGTTTGGCGTCACAGTCGACGGCCGCGAGCATGAGGCAGCAGGCCCCCCGACTCATCCCCAGCCGCCCGCACCACACCTGCACACACACAGGCGCATCCCTGCATGCTCACATTAATGCAGACAGACATAAGCACCGGTCGGGTTTGGACGAGCAGTGCCAGTGTGAGCTGCGAAGGACCGTCCACAAAGGCAAAGTCGACCTAAGGGCAACGGACAGACAGTTTTGTTCGTTCGGTGGTGAGCGGTTGTGTGACGTGCAGTGCAGGGGTGGCTCAGGTCAGGTCCCCCACCCACCAGTTGGTGCACCCCCAGCTGGGCCTTGATGGCGACGGACCAGGACGCCCCCACAAACAGGTCACCAGACAAGAGCTCGTGATGCCTACACACACACAGACACACACACACACACACACACGGAGAGAATGAGAGAGAGAGAGAGAGAGAGAGGAGAGAGAGAGGCCCACCATGAGCTTTTCATGCAACACACGATAGACGTGGGGCACCTCCCTCTGTCCACCCACCCGGATAATTCGGCTTCCTTCTCGACAGCCTGGTCTTGCCTGTCCTGGATGACGTCGCCACCCAAGGCACCTGCACTGCCGGCTCCCCGACCGCCATCGCCCTCTCCTCACTATCATCAGCCACACGCCGGAACGGCACGATGATCAGATGGTCGCCAAACAGACGCAACGCAGCACAGCCGCAAAACACCGACTCCACGCCGTCATGCCGCTCGGATGGCTGCCTGACATACAGACAAGAAATAGAACAACAAGTGGCTGTTGGCATTCTTGGCTTGAGTGACTCAGTCAGATGCGCACACAGACCTACCTGTTGTGTGTGTGGTTGTGCGATGCGCATGGTGGGTGCCAGCTGCGGGTGGTTGGTCATGGCCCGGGTGAGCTCAGGCAGGTTGAATGAGTGCAGACTCAGCGTTGCAATGAACGAGCGCAGACTCAGCGTTGCAAAGTCGTTCAACTCCACGCTGTAACCGCACAGCACCAACTGAACACACACACACACACACACACACGTGTGTGCCCGTGCATAGATCTTGGAATCGCTACGCTCCACATCTCTCCCTCTTCCTTTCTGCATACCTGCCCCATTTTGAAGAGCAGCGCCACTCTGTCAGCATCGCCGCTTCCATCCCCGCCAGCCAAGAAAAACGTGATTGTGACACTCAGCATTGAGTAAATGCCATCCATCCATGCAGTAGTCAGTCATTTGCACACGCCCCTCTCTTTTCGCCTTCAGTCTTGCTCAGCGGCGTTAATTCCCATCCCGAGGGAAGACGGATTCTGCCTGTCTGAAACCCCTCAAACATCCTGGCTACGCATGTTTTTGCTCTTGACTCGAGCACAACGCGCTTGAAGTCATCCTTCCCTTCGAAGTCTTCCTCGTCATCAAGCTCGTCGTCCCGGTCTTCCTCCCCAGCTCCCTTGAACGGCACCTCTTTGGTGAGGAAGTCGATAAGGAAGTTCGCCGCTTGATGCAACAACAGTGGTCGTTCTTGCCACACCCGATTGTTGACGAGCTCCGTCATGATACACTCCTTGCCCTTGGTCAGGAGGCCGATTACCCGATGATCCCCTTGACCGGCAAGGTGTCTCCTGACCAGAACGACTTCAGCTCGCACCTGGCCAAGCTCTTGCGGGAGGTCGGTGCCAGGCGCTTTCACCTCGATGACGACTGACATCGACTTCAGCACGTCTTGAACAGGCAGGGCAAGTCGGCGTTTGTTGTCATGGAACCATACGTACTCCTTTGGCACAATGCAGATGTCACCGGGAGTGCCTCGGAGGCCATGGGGTGGCACTGCATTGACGTCTTTCTCCAACTCACACTTGGACTTCCTGACATCCGCTTGAGCCCAGCAGTCACTGCCGGCGCTGTGCAGCTGGTCGAACACCTTTGGCAGAAGTTTATCTTGCATGTACTCCACGACCGCGTCCTCGTCTCCAACTGAGAGCAAACAAGAAGCCAGAAGTGGATCACGCAAAGATGGAAGCGTCAAAGTGTATTTCTCATGCCTGTTGGTGGGTCGAAATCGTTCTCCTTGCATGGCTCCTCTCTGACTTGAAACTCCCACAGTTTGGTGGTGAGGCCGAAGGTTGCGTCGTGCTGGGGAACTTCGGAGATCCGATACGATTTTACCTGCTCTCTCACAAGCACACACGAAACTCAAGATTCCTTCGTGTGCAGTCCATGTTCGTCTATTAGTACCTCCTGACGAAGTCTGGCGATAATCGGTGTGTCCTTCTCGTCCCCACACGGTGACGGCAACAGTTCTGAAACCAACATCGCATCGTCCGCCTCTACCTCGTTGCCGTTGACGACCAGGACGATGTCAGTCACCGCCACATCGGAGCGGAGCTTGTTGTGGATGGCCGTTATCAATTCCATGCTGCAGCCGGTTCTCTCGTGGTAGTACACCCGCCATGACTTATTCCAGTCCTCAAACTTAATCCACTTGAGCGTTTCCTCCACGGTCAGAGCTTGGAGCTGCTCTGTCACACCCTGCACGTCGACTTGCATCTCTCTTGCCTCTCCCATGTCACTCCTCGGCCGCTTCCCCTTCCCTGAGCGTCCCTCTTCCATGTCCATGAGGAGCGAAAGTGAGCCCTCGCCGGCTCCCAGACGACGGCACCCTGAATGCACACATACACACACACACACACACACGTGATACACGCACACGGGCGTACACATGGCAGCTTACTGAGCTTACTGACGTTTTCTCTTCTTCTTCTTCTCCCGTTTCAGAGAGTACCCTAGGCTGCATGACGGCGAAGTCCTGTGTCGCTGACCTAACACGCAACATGCACCCTAACATGCGACACGGACACGGAACGCGCAGCACGCAGAGGGCAGAGGCAGCAAACATGCAATGCCTCGGTCGGTCGGACTCGGTTTAGGGTTTGACGAGACCTGTCCACACACCGCAAGAGGACTTGACCGTCAGGCCGCCTAGGGTGCTCCGTGAAACCGCTGTCCCTGGGCCCGGGTGAAAAAACACGAGAAGAGCGGACCCAGAGGTGGTCGTACATCACCATGAGATGTTACAGGCGGAGAGATCCTTGGCGGTGCGGAGAACTCTTTGTTCCTCGTCCGCGGTTTCTTCCTCGTCCAGCGGTTTCAGGTTCATCCTCGAATCTGAAGGATTGCCGAAGGTGGAACACCCACAAGAGAAGGGTCGAGCAGCAGGCGGCCAAGGAGCCTTGGCAGCCAAGGAGAAGGGCACCAAGCCAGGCCCATACGGCCCATACTGCGTGATTTTGGTCCTCTTTTGTGCGTCTGGATTGCCGCATGGCTGATCTGTGGCCACAGAGATGTGGGTGGGCGAGGGGAGCTATGGCCCCGACTGCGAGGAGGGGAAGGACTGCAGCGCTGACGTGAATGGTCCATGGGGCGGCGAGATCTATCACGAACGGAATGGTCTATGGATGGATCTTTCTGTGGCTTCTTCTGTGTGAGCAGGTGCGTCGTTTCTCGGCCGCACTCAGGAGATCCAGGCCACTAAGCACACGAATACGGCCGCGAACAAGCACGGTACACCCAGATCTTTCTGTGCTGCACACGTGGTGCCCTCTCTCTGAGAATAATGCCTTTGTGTGCAGGTGCTGTGTTGGGTGCTGGTGAATTGTCGGCATTGCAGCAGCAGCTTCAGACCGGCATCAAACTCATCAGCGCCCCCAACGACTTGACCGCCTCAGCCATGGCGACAATCGACGACATAGAAGACCACATCCACGGCGCCACAGGTACACACCCACCCACCCACACACACACACGACCGACCGACCGACCGATATGTCTTTCTGTCTTGCTTTGCCCGGATGAATGGACGGGCGGCTGCAGCCGACGGAGACGCATACGATCAGCCTGTCCGTGCGGCCGTACATGTGCAACAGGCGGCTGCCCGACGGGTATATGTGACACTGGACGGACGGGCAGTCTCACTGCAGACTTTTCATCGTGACTCATCTGCATCTCCATGTTGCTGAAGCACGCATGAAGCCCTGCGCAGCAGAACGCATCCAAACACCGTCCAGAAAGCCCATAGACGTCGTGTGTCGCTGCTCACTGACCTCTGCGCTGAGCGGGAGCCGAGAGGCTGTCGTAGCGTTCGAGCAGCATGGCGCCTGACACCGACTCATCAGTCCCCTCCTCCTGCTTGACCGCGCTGTGGCGTGCTGCACTCGACGCGGAGGCAGACTGAATGCCGCCAATGGGCGGTTGTTGACCCACTGACGGATCCCCAGACATCTCTGCTGAAGCTGGGAAGTCAACAAAACTGGCGATCGGCAATAAGCTCGCCCACCTGCGTACGCGTGCCTGCCCCTGTGAGTCCACCCCCAGAACAAAACCTGCTGTGCTGCCCCAGGTTGAAAGCTTGAAGATGGCGGCAGCAGCAGCGGCGGTGCCACCTCCGATGGACGTGGTGATGAGCCCGTCCCCGTCGGCTCCCGCGGCGCAGAAGGAGCGGGCGTCTGCGGAGGATCTGTTTTTGAAGCTCAAGCAGCTGCAGCGGCAGCTGGAGTTCCTGAACATCCAGGAGGAGTACATCAAGGACGAGCAGAAGAACCTCAAGCGAGAGCTCATCCGCGCCCAGGAGGAGATCAAGCGCATCCAGTCGGTGCCCCTCATGATAGGCCAGTTCCTCGAGATGATTGACGCCAACTACGGCATCGTCTCCTCCACGGCGGGCAGCAACTACTACGTCCGCATCCTCTCCACACTCAACCGGTCAGTCAGTGAGGGGAGTGAGTGGAGGGAGGGGCGAGGGGACAGACAGGCGGCGCTGGTCGGTGAGACGCCTGGCAGATGTGTGTGGTGGTGGTTGTGTGGTTGTGGCTGTGTGCAGCGAGTTGCTGAAGCCCTCGTCGTCAGTGGCGCTGCACCGCCACTCGCACAGCGTGGTGGACATTTTGCCGCCCGAGGCCGACTCGTCCATCCAGATGATGCAGATGACCGAAAGACCAGACGTCACCTACTCGGTATGGCACCATCCGCCATGCACAAAGCACAAAGCAGACAGACAGAGGAATGGGTGATTGGTTGGCCCCTGTGTGTGAGTGGAGTGGTGTGTTGTGTTGTGTAGGACATCGGCGGCATGGACATCCAGAAGCAGGAGATCCGTGAGGCGGTGGAGCTGCCCCTGACCTGCCCGGAGCTCTACCAGCAGATCGGCATCGACCCGCCCACGTACGGGCTATACAACACATACCATACATGAATGACATACGCTCAGGGCAGGCGAATCGTTGTCTCATGCTGACTGACCATTCTCTCCTCTCTCTCTGTACTGTGTGTCTGGTCTGCAGTGGCGTGCTTCTCTACGGCCCTCCGGGCACCGGAAAGACCATGCTCGCCAAGGTCTGTCTGATTGGCAGGCAGACAGGCAGACAGACAAGGAGACAGACACTCGCAAATTAATGCACCTACTTACTGTGCGTTGTTGATTATTCTGTGTGCAGGCTGTAGCGCATCACACGACTGCGACGTTCATCAACGTGGTGGGTTCCGAGTTCGTGCAGAAGTACCTGGGAGAGGGCCCCCGAATGGTCCGGGACGTCTTCCGCCTGGCCCGCGAGAACAGCCCCGCCATTGTCTTCATCGACGAAGTCGACGCCATCGCCACCAAGTCAGTCAGTCAGTCAGTCGATACCGATGGATGTCCGGGTCGCGTCACGGGCCGGCATGTCTGTGTCGTTCTCTGCGGTCTGTCTGCAGGCGTTTCGATGCCCAGACCGGAGCTGACAGAGAGGTCAGTAGAGTGGGGGGGCAAGGCAATCACTGGGAAGGTCTGTCGAGCACCCCAACCGCGTGTGTCTGTCCGTGTGTGTGTGTGTGTGTGTTCAGGTTCAGCGTATTTTGCTGGAGTTGTTGAATCAGATGGACGGCTTCGACCAGACCACCACCGTCAAAGTCATCATGGCCACCAACCGACACGACACACTCGACCCCGCACTACTCAGACCTGGTGCAGTGCAGAGTCCAAGCATCCATCGCCCAAAGTCGATGGATTGATCGGTGCGTGGCGTGCAATGAATGGTTGTCCGTCTTCTCTGCGTGTGTGCACAGGTCGTCTGGATCGCAAGATCGAGTTCCCGCTGCCGGACCGTCGCCAAAGGCGCCTCATCTTCCAGACCATCACCGGCAAGATGAACCTGGCGGAAGAAGTCGATCTCGAAGAACGTACGTACACACGCAATCAATGCACACAGACACAGCCGTACTCTCGTCCGTCTTTTGTTCATTCAGTTGTGTCTCGTCCGGAGAAGATTTCGGCTGCGGACATTGCTGCCATCTGCCAGGAGGCCGGCATGCAGGCCGTGAGAAAGAACAGGTGACTGACTGACTGACTGACGCACACAAGAGAAAGGAGCTGCGTATGTGGATCCTGGCTGGTTTGTTGGCTGTGTGTGTGTTTGGTTAGGTACATCATACTGCACAAGGATTTCGAGAACGGCTGGAAGGTGCACATCAAGAAGCAAGACCGAGACTTCGACTTCTACGTCATGTGAGGGACCGACAAGCATTGTTTGTCTTTTCACTGACGGCCGCGCGATACGTGGGGACGGACACAACGGTTCCGTATGTGTACGCAATCGATAACATTTGACGTACACAGACATATGGCCGGATGAATGCGGTCGACTCGGTCGCTGCATGTACATCCGCAGCTAGCGTGCTGGTCAAAAAACTGTGCCAAACTGCGTCAGGTCCGTCCGTATACGTGTACGAGTGTCGGGTGTGTGTTGGATGGACCTCTCTCCACGACCGGCCACTGATTGATGAGGCCACGAAAAGTAGGGCACATCGTCTTCGCTTCCGACATGCACTTGGGTCATTCATGGCTCTCGCCGCACACATCTATCTCGGTCTTCTCGCTTAGTGATCGGTGCCACGCATCGCATTGATCGATCAGAGACACACACCATCAACTGACTGACTAACGTCAGCACCGAAATACGCTGCACCGAAATACGCTGAGTGCACTCGGCGCCGTGTACGTGTAACTGTCTATGAAAACCAACTACTGTACATACGCCACACTCACTCACGTTTATCGCAGGTACAAGAACATCACCAGAGAGAGATGGGATAGGCATGCATACTGTACAGGCAGATTTCGCTTGCTAGCTTTCATGAGAGGTTGGAAGGTCTCATGAAGGTCTGCGGCACTACAAATCATACCCACGGTGTCTACCCAAGAAGTCATCCCGTGTGTGTCACGCGTGAGCGCATGCCTCCCTGTATGCTGAGCTTCTACGCCGCAATCCTATGTGTGTCGTCAATGCACGGGTACGTCTCTTTCGCAATCGCCAAAAGCACATTGCTTGCCTATCCCTCACTCACTCACCCCACCGGCCGCACCAACCTACCGCAGCACTACACACCACTTCGCATGTGTACATTCATGCAGCTACGGCTGTCGTCCGAACAACTACTGTACATACGCCACACTCACTCACGTTTATCGCAGGTACAAGAACATCACCAGAGAGAGATGGGACAGGCATGCATACTGTACAGGCAGATTTCGCTTGCTAGCTCTCATGAGAGGTTGGAAGGTCTCATGAAGGTCTGCGGCACTACAAATCATACCCACGGTGTCTACCCAAGAAGTCATCCCGTGTGTGTCACGCGTGAGCGCATGCCTCCCTGTATGCTGAGCTTCTACGCCGCAATCCTATGTGTGTCGTCAATGCACGGGTACGTCTCTTTCGCAATCGCCAAAAGCACATTGCTTGCCTATCCCTCACTCGCTCACCCCACCGGCCGCACCAACCTACCGCAGCACTACACACCACTTCGCATGTGTACATTCATGCAGCTACGGCTGTCGTCCGACAGGCATGAGGTCAAATGGCGTGTTGTCTTGTACGACTGCGTAATTGAGATCACCGGCGACCTCATAAAAGACGGCCTGGTACGCGATCGGCAAATCCTCGGGAATGAACAGTCCCCAACGGCTGCCGTCGTATTTCTTGGACCGGTCAGTCTCCTTAAACACTGAATGCATTCAGACAGACAGACAGACAGACAGGGATGGAGGGATACACCCATACACATACCTACATGCATGCATGCACATACAGACAGCGAATGCAGCTACCTGCTGGATTCTTAATGGCATGGTACAGGTCCGTGTAGAAGTCGACGAAGGGCGTCCCGTCCGTGCAGTTTGCCGTGCAGTGGAGTTCATGTGCCGTGACCAGCTGGATGGTCTTCCTGTCGATTGAGCTGTGCAGGTGCCTCCCTCTCCGATCGATGTAGTCGGCAATCGCTTGGATGACTCGCTCGTTTGGCAGCTGCAGCATCGACATCGAATAGTCGCACCATCCGGTGTTCCACAAGGCACTGCGAATATACCTGAAGAAAGGAAAGGAAGATCACCCTTGCATGTTTCATTCAGCGGACGAGTGAGTACTTCCACATGCGCTACCAGTCGAAGACCTTGTCTATCCGCAGCTGCCCGGCAGCCATGAAAAGCTCCACCTTCAGTTCGTCCAAATACATCTCCTTCTCGACGAACACGTGATACCAGGCAGCGATTGGCGGCTCCCCCGCCACCACGTGCAGCTACAGGCAGCAATGCATGCTCACATGGACGGAGCACATGACAAAGAGAGAGCACAACAGCCGTCATCTGTCTGGACTGTAAGCCGATGCGTATGTACCGGTTTCGCATTTGACTTTTTCGATCCTTTTGACGACTGCACAACACACACATGCCCGCATCCGTCCATCTGTCTTCTCCCTTCCACCTATCAGGCACGTGGCCAGCCATCCTCGTACCTGGGACGCCGTGACATTATTCTCCTTTGTAGCGGGGGCTTCCTCGCCTGTCTGCGGCATCCGATGCAGCCTCAGACGATTGTAAATCAATGGTGCTTTATCATGTACGACTGCGAGGCCCATATCATCGGCGATTTCCATAAGGACGGCCTGGTACACGGCAGGCAATTCATTGGGAATGTACAGACCCCAACGGCTGCCGTCGTATCTCTCAGACAGCTCAGTCTCCTTGAAGACTGAAGGCATTCAGACAAATACATATACGCACAGACAGATAAACACACAGACAGAGAGAGAGACCAGACAGACAGACAGACAGACAGCGAATGCAGCTACCTGCTGGATTCTTAATGGCATCGCATAGGTCTGTGTAGAAGTCGACAAAGGGCCTCCCGTCCGTGCAGTGGAGTTCATGTGCCGTGACCAGCCGGATGGCCTTCCTGTCGATTGAGCTGTGCAGGTGCCTCCCTCTCCGATCGATGTAGTCGGCAATCGCTTGGATGACTCGCTCGTTTGACAGCTGCAACATCACCCCATAGTCGCACCATCCGGTGTTCCACAAGGCACTGCGAATGTACCTGAAGAAAGGAGGAAAGGAAGATCAGCCTTGCATGTTTCGTTCAGCGGACCACGTCCGCTACCAGTCGAAAACCCTGCCAATCAGCAGCTCCCCCTCAGCTATGAAATTGTCCACCTTGAGCTCGTCCAAATAGCTCTCCTTCTCGAGGAACACGTGATATGAGGGGATGGTGGGCGGCTCCCCCTCCAGTACGTGCGACTACAGTCAGGAAGTGCATCCACCCACAGGGGAGCGCACAAAAGCCAAAGAGAGCACAACAACTGTCGTATCTAAAGACTGTCAGTTTGCATGTGCAAGTTTGTATCTACCGGTTGGTCATCGTGCGCATCTGACTTGCCGACCGCTGCTGAGGACTGCAGTGCACTCACGACACACACACACTCGGAGATGCAATGAATGCGCGCCTCGGCACACACACCTGGGACGCCGTGGCGTTATTCCCCTTTGTAGTGTCGGCCTCTCCGCATGTCTGCGGCATCTGATGCAGCACCAGAAGACTGTGCCTGGAACTCGTGATGATTTGGCGATTTCGTGAGAGGAGAGGGCGAGCGAGAGATAGGCCAGGTGGAGGTCGCGTGAAGCCGCGTGCGAGGCACACGACAGAGGCGATACAAACGAGGATGCACCCTCTCATCAAGAGATGGCTGGGCGATCCGCATGTTTGCCGTTTTGTCGCGAAAGCTCGCAAAGGACGGATGGACGGATCGACACAGCGGTCGTCCCGTATATGTGTGGTCGCACGTATTCATGAGCTTTAACACAGACATGCGAATGAATGAATGAATGAATGAATGAATGAATGAATGAATGCGAGTCGCTCCCCATACATCGTGTGCGCGTTGGAAACAAAACCTAGGTGGAGCCTACGCGACCAACTGACTGCACAACGACACCACAGCGCTCTAAACAAACGTGCACCACAGCAGCTGAGCTAGGGCAGCAAACACACACACACACACACACACTCTCTCTCTCTCTGTGGAGCTTCCGACTACGTCCGTCTCCTACTCCCCTTGGCCTGGCTGGGCTGCATTGCAACCTCTCCCTTGATTGACTGATTGCTTAAACAAACTCCCCTCACCCTCACACACGCCACTCTTCGTTCCCTCGAGTACTCAACAACTATCACTCACTTGTCCTTGACCCCGTTGGCCATCAGTGTGGCGGGTGTGTTGGCAATGGTAGTCTCGGAGCTGACAACGTTGTTGCCGTTCTCTGTCACCATCTCGCCCCGCTTCCCGCGGTACACCGGGTTGCCGACGTGGCCGGTGGCCTCGGCTGTGTTGGCTGCTGACGAGGCAGCCTCTGACGTCTCTTCTGCCGCCTGTCGCAGCTTCTGCACCACCCCAGCTGCTGCTGCCGCAGATGTGATGCCCGCACCCTGAGCCATGGACCGGAAGATGCTGTCATCGCTGTCCAGCAAAGCCTGAGAGGCGGGCCGGGCGACACATACACTCAATGGCAGGCAGAGTGAAATGAATGGTGGGAGCGCTGATTTGATGCTCACCATTGGCGCATCGAATTCCGCGACGTTGCCCGCATCCATGACCATCACACGGTCTGACACGACATGGCAACACACACAGAGATCAGAGTGTGTGTATCCGACCCCCCCACGCCAGCCCACGCACCGTAGTCGAGAATGGTGTCGATCCGGTGTGCGATGGTCATGACGGTGCTATCGGTGAAGGACGTCCGAATGCTCCGCTGAATCAGCTGGTCCGTGTGCTGATCCACAGCTGACGTGGCCTCGTCCAGCAGCAGGATCTTGCTGTTCCGCAGGAGTGCCCTCGCCAGACACATGAGCTGCCTTTGCCCCAGGCTGAAGTTGCGGCCGCCCTCCTCGACAGGCTGGTCGAGGCCGCCCTCCCCCTCGCTGATTTTGGCCTTGAGGTACGACCGCTGCAGTGCGTCCCAGATGGCCGCATCTGAGTACTGCTGGAAGGGATCCAGATTGGACCTCACCGTCCCCGTGAACAACGTGGGATCCTGACAAACACATTTAAACACACCCACACCCACACAGAGGCATTAATGTTGGTGTGCAGGGGGGGCGGGGACGTACCTGTGGAATGATAGAAAACTTGGAGCGTAGGTCGAAGAGCCCGATGGATGTGACGTCGACGCCGTCGACAGTGATGCAGCCGCCCGCAGGCTCCACCAGACGCAGCAACGCCTGAAGCATCGACGACTTGCCCGCACCGGTCCGCCCAACGATACCCACCTACCACCCAAAAAAACACACACACACACCAACAGACAGTGTCACGGTGTGTGTCTCCAAACGGGTGTGTGTTGCGTCCACCGTGCCGTATTGACTGACCTTTTCGCCAGGTCTGATTGTGAAGTTGAGTCCCATGAGGACGAGTGGCAGGTTGGGGCGGTACCTCATCTGGTAGTCCATAAAGGTGACGGCCCCCTGCTGCGGCCATGCCTGAGGCGGACGGTGGTCGGGCAGGACGGCAGGCGCCTCGCCAGGCAGCTCTGCGTACTCCTTCACACGCTCGACCGAAACGATGTTGCTTTCACGCTCACTGAGACACAGAGAGACAGACACAGAGGGAGGGAGATAGGGACCATTCGGTGACTGCAGTCAGTCCACGGCTGCCTCGCCTCACCTGGCCATTCGGACCATCCAGTTGAGAATCTGGGTCACATTGAGGGCGTAGCTGATGGCCAGGCCGCCCAGACCAGCTGCCACGGTGCCCCGACCGAGCACGGCGAGAAGGCCCGTGAGAGAGACAGCGCAGGTGCCGACGAACTCCAGGCGGATCGCAAGCCAACGATTTGAGGCCACATTCAGATAATACGCCCTGCACACAGACACACACGTGTGTCACATGCAGATCAGATGGCTTGATGGATACCCATGATCATGGGATTGAGTGCACACCTGACCTGAGGTTTGAGTCGAGGCGCTGTTCGTTGATGAAGATGAATCTGTCTTGTGCTCTGAAGGCCCTTATGGTGGGGACGCCGTCGAGCGTCTCGGAGAAGTGGGCGAAGATGGGCGACCGCAGCACGCTGTCCAGCCGCTTCAGCTGACGGCTCGACGGGATATAGTACTCCTGCGTGGCCTGCAATAAGGGCGAAGACATCGTCAGCCATGATGCGTCCGTCGAGGGGAAGAGGTGTCCCCTCCCTCCTGTCTCGTCCGCACCAGGTAATACCATCCCAGTGGAAAGAGAGCGGCGATGAACCACGGCACCACAAAGGCGACCACACCAATGGTGCCCAACACCTACACAAACACATGACAAGGACACAAAGAGGCCGCTCATTCCTGCCTGCCTGCCTGCTGTGCTGACTGACCAGCGAGAGTGTCCAGAGGTACATGAAGATGCTGTTTGGCAAAACCTCATCAACTGCACCACACACAGACAGATGGGATCTACATCTACATGGCATGTACATGCGGTGCGTCGGCCGCTCACTTGTGTAAGTGTCCTTCGAGAACCGGTTGATGAGCCTGCCGGTGGGCGTGGTATCGAAGAAGGCCATCGGTGCCCTCATGACGCCCCGGATCAAGCCCTGGTGGAAGTGGCGCGCCCCCTTCTGGCCGGCAGCGGCGTTCACGAACGATCCCGCGAAGCTCATGACGGTCTGGATGAACGAGAAGAGGACGTAGAAGCCCAGCCCCATGTACTGGCCCATTTGGGGGTTGTCGCTCCAGTAGGACAGCCAGGAGTTGGAGAGGATGGAGGAGCCCTGCTGCCCCATGAGGCTGAGGATGATCCACACCACCATGGCCACCCCGCCGCACCCCATGAAGTAGTGCCAGTACACCTGACGGGAGACCGCACCCGCCTCGACGTACTCGCGGTCGATCAAGGCGCCCTCGGACCTGGAGGAGGGATACCATCGAGCGACGTACGTATGAGGGCACTCATCATGCCGCTAGCTAGAGTCGATTGCGCGCTGCTTACCTTCTCTTCTCCTCCTTCTGTTTCTCTCTGATGTCCTCGGCAGACGACAGCCGAGAGCGGCGCGACTTGCTGAAGGATGGCGCACACGTGAATGAGTGAATAATGCAGACAGGCCTGTCTGCATGTGCACGTGTGGCCGCTTTGTATGTTTGTGTGACCTTGATATGTCCCTCTTGGGTGTGTTGGGCGGGCCCAGCGCAGAGCCAGCACCCGACGGCTTCATGCCATTCTGCACCACACAACACAAGATAAGACAGAAGGGGATGGGCCAGCATCCACCCATCCATGCATCCAAGGACACATACGTGTGTTTCCCTCACTCCTTTTCTCTCACCATTTGTGCGGCCCCCCCGGTCTCTCCGGTGGCCCCCTCGTCCGTCTGCTGCTCATCCTCGGCATAGTCGGGGTCATCCGCCTCGTCTTTGTACTCCTGGAACATCCGCATAAGCGCAGAATAGGCGTCTGGCAGCCGCCGGAACCCGTCAAACCCACCGCAGTAGGCCACAGTGCGGTCGCGCAGAAACACAATCTGACAGGGGCAGAAAATGGATGGCACACAGCGGGTGGGTGCAACAGATGCATGTGTGTGGGGGGGGGGGGGG